ACTGCATGACCATGATGACTGCACCCAAAAAAAGGCTTTAGGGTGGTTCTGTAAAACTTCACTGACTTCAGTGTTTAGTGTTCTTGCAAATCAAATGAAGGTTTTATGCTAGCCACCTAGAAGAACTGTACTTCCCCATTAGCGACCCTGAGAACTGTTGAGCTGACCTGTGTACTATGTAGTTTATGCTCCATTTCCATTTCTTCAAGACAGCTGTCATTAGACCTGAGCAGGAAAGATCACTCTTTCTTATCCAGTAGTCTTTGCTTCACCCATTGAAGAAAGGCACCTTTGTTTCCAACAGTGTTTGGACACTGCTTTCTACAAGTTTTCTACAGACAAGATGCAAGTATACCCAACCCTGATTCCATCTACAGACCAGGCCCATACTATTTGATGAAAGACATGGGTCATTACAACACAACTGCATACAAATTCATAACAGAGTATAGCATCGGACGGTCAAATTGTACAGGGACTTCTAGAAGCTCACAAAAACTTCTAGTATATTTTACTCCCCTTCCTCAACAACAACTGACTGTTCTCAGTGGCATTGAATACCCAGTTATACTAAGTGGCAATTCAGTGACTGACAAAACAAGAAAAATGTGTCCTTTATTATTTGCTGGCAAAACACGCTCCATATTTTGCAGTACTTTAAGAAATTCTTACAAAGAGTTCAAACTGTTTCTATGACCCTACATTACACAACTCGGATGTTTATCTAATCCTCCTTAGACATTTACCATTGCTCCATGTCCATATGAGAAGAAGTATTCTGCCTTTGGTTTCAGTCCATTGCCAATAGCGTGTCTCTCTATTAGGCTATTGCAATTTTTAATCTCAGGTTGGATAGAGTGACAGGTAAGGATATCTACTTGCTTTTTCAGAAATCCTTCCATTTCGCAGGATTTCTCCACACAGAAAGCATAATATAACCCTTCACTACATCAGAGGCAACATTTGAAAGGTAACCATTGCGAGGATATCCAGCTTACAAGAACAAGTCTGATTAACAGGAAAAGTAGGGATAAATAAGTGCACTAGTAAAGCAGACAATGAGTAACTTCCAGTGGCATAGCGGAACATAATTTAAATAAGACTCTTGCTATTTACTGCCTTGATAATATTGTGGCATTAAGCAAGAACGTCAGTAGCATCTCCTGTTTCTGTAAACCAAGCAGACACATCACAAATTTAAAAAAAGCACCCACGCCCATACAAAACAAACTAAAAACTTAATTTAAAAATATTTTTTAGATCTAAATCTAATTCTCAAAATAGTGGAAGAGAATGGTTTAAGACAAACCCTTGTGCTTGTGTAACTGAGTGGGGTAAGCAGAATGACGGAAATGAGAGGGGGATTAGCCTTCAGTACCCACATTTCAGCATTTTGCACACCGTTAAAAATTAAGAATCAAAACAAATACTTAAATTCCTGAGAACATTCCCCACCAGATTATAAGTATTTCTATGAGGTTAGATCAAAAGCTTAAACTAATTGGTAAGGGTTCCTCTGAGGTCTTTACATTAGTAACCTCACGGAAAAACAACATTCAGGTTAGAGCAAACCTTTGTGCACAACCTCAGTAATTAAAACAACACAAAACTCCACAAAACTCACAAAATGCCCAGTAATAGCAGGAAGCAGCAAGAACGGATACAGGAATTTCAGATATTTGTTAATTGCTGTTTATTCTATCTCAACAAAAAATATTTTCCTATCCCAAAACATTTATTTAAGGTCACTGTTTTAAGTAAACCACATTGAGTGGCTTAGGGAATATTCAAATCCAAAGTTTTTTTTCTCTTTCTGCTCAGTGCATTGACCCCTACTCTCATTATGAGCCATAAATGTTTACGAGAGTTTGCCATCAGCTTGCTGAGACAACACATTTTATCTCATTTTCCATAGTTGCACATCAACAAACTCCAAGAAATGTTTTATATGTCAAAATCTTGCATGATGGCCCTCCCCACATGACTCCAAGAAAAGAAGATGAAGATTTTTCTCCTTAATCAAGACACAAGCAAGAAAAATAACACTGCTGAGACTGCAACTGGTGACAGAACAGCAGATGTATTTATCACCTGTGTGAGGTTGCTTCTTTAAGTAGCTAGTTCTTTAACAGATGTAATAAAACCAAAAGAATTGTGAAAAAGAATTTTCTCACATAAGGAAGGAAGTGAATTATAAGAGAAGGAAACACTACAAAGTGGAAGGAGCATAGCTGATGCCAATTACTTTAATACAATTCATTTTAGCTGGCTGTATTTCATGAAATAAACACTTACCTATGACAGTTTAAGAGTAAACACTGTCTTTGTTTACAAGAGTAAACACTTGTATTTCTCTTCTGTTACTAGCAGTTGTTTTTGCGTTCAGAAATTGCCCCATTCCTAGCTATTTAACAAAAAAAGATAAAATTCTCAACTCTAATCTCTGTCAAGAGAAATGCATTTGACATATGAAAGTAAATATTTTCCTTTCTATAGGAGAGTTTTTAAACACATTATCTTATGCTAACACCTTACTTAATCCTCCATCTGCACATGGCTAAATTAATCTCAGCTAGCTAATATGCACTTTTATCTTATAGGGTTTTTAAGTTGCAATTTTGGCTTGAACAGGCAACTGCCATATACAGATATAAGAAAAAAAAATCTGTAACACTTTCTCCCAGCATCCATTAGGAGGTACACAACTGGTGCTTGCCGAGATGATGCAGAAGTGCGGTATATTCCATTTCTGATACTATCCCCCTCCTAAATCTGAGGATGGTGACACTATGAACATGATCTTCATGCAGTCCAGTGGAGCTAAAAGAGGACCGAAGCCATGATTCCTATAAGCCAATCTTAAAACTGCAGAAAAGCAGCAGCATTGACAAATTGAGCAACCTTTTTCTTCCAACTCCTCCCAAGGATGATGTTTCCCTGGCAATTCTGGGAGGGAAGATTTGTGCTACCCTCCTCTGCTTGGCCTTACTCAGGCTTTCTCTCTCCTCCATGAGATCCAAATCTTAGTTATAGAGGACTGCTTCTCTTCCCACCATGAAAAAGGAACTGCAAATAGTCTGTATTACCACAAAGAGCTATGATCTATCTGCTCCAGGGTATTTAAAAAAAAAAAGAAAAGAAAGAAAAAAAAGAAAAGAAAAGAAAAAAACCCCTCAGGCCACACAAACATCCCTCAGGGCAGATCAGGAAGATCAGTCAGGCATCTGATCAATAAAAGCATTTAAGAGGCATGAATTTCTTTTTGATTCGTCTGTTTTTTTTTTTTTCAAATGAAATAACAATATAATGAAATAAGAGTTTAATTTTAATAGAGAACTAATCACACATTTCATCACTTTTTCAGTCGGTATTTACTGTGCCAAGAGACTATATGTTTACTTCGTACCTCAAATGAAAGAAGAGCTACTTCATCCTAGATTGCAGTCTACGGTCCACAAGCATAACTCTTACCAATATAGCAAAGAAAGAAGCACCAAACACAGCCATATTAAAATCCTACCTACCATAGTTTAGCCTATATGCTTGCTATATATATAGTAAGTTTTATAAACTTTATAAAACTATGGCTTATATCAGCATGAAATAACCTATGCGCAGCAATCTTTTCTTTATTTTTTTCTTCACTGCACTCTCGTTCAAAATAGTTGTGAAAATTCTCCCAGTAACACAACCACCTCTACCACTTCCCTTTGAAGCCACTTCATTTGAAGTCCCTAAAAATTCAGTGAAATTCTCCTGATGAAATGATGCATCTCTCTGAAGTTACTTCCCTTCTTCTCATCATCTCTGACTGTAGTTTTAATAGTTGTGAGCAGAATGCTCAAGTTTCTGTCTTCATCAATAAGGGGGTTTCTCCACAGTTTGGCTGAAGAGCAGGACAAAGGGAGGGGAGACTGAGCGTAGCCATGAGGGAATGGGACAAAAAGAGCCATCTGCAAGGAGATGGGGCCTTTACAAAGGAGGGAAATAGGGCAATGCCCCCACATTCTTCAGCAAGGGGGACAAAGGAGTTGGTGAGCTCAGGTGAGAACAGATGGCGGGAGGCTGGAGTTTGGTGTAGGTGGGCCAGGAAGGCTGTAACTTCTGAGTACCTTGGCCAATGGGGAAAAGGAGAGGGTGTCCCTCGGTCGGGAAATTAGGATAAAAGGGGGGCTGCGTCCCCCAGCAATTTGAGAGACCCCACAGGGATATGCCCGGTGGACTCTCCCTTTATTCGAATAAAGTTTTAGGACTCCTCTGTCTCCTTTTTGGACATTCAGTTCTTGACAGCGAGATTTTCCGCACAGTTGTCAGACACGTGCATGCTTCCTTAGATCACTGAATCAGTCACTGCAATGATTTCCTACTTCTATGCGTCATCCCCTCGCCTTTCTGCTCTGGATTTACTTCACACCCCTCCTTGTTCCCTCTCAGGAGCACTGAGTCTACTGTTCTGTGACAGAAGAAACAACAAAAATGCTCATTAACAAATCCTATATTACAAGAACTTAAATTTCTAATGATGCTTTGACCTGGTATTCAAAGAAAAAAAAAAAAGTGTGACTATGGGGAAGGTCCTAAATAGAGTATCATAAAAAAAAATGAACTTTAGGTAATTATACAAAATAGCTTCTTTAAGTATGGGGGAATCGTTTTTGTTATTGTTAGAGTATGCAACAATTCCTGGTATTCATAAAGCTTAAGAGCACAGTACTACACTTAACAGGATTTTTAACCCTAAAACAGCAAACCTATGCATCTAAAGAAAAACAGAGTGATCGGTTTCCATTTACACAGCGCTAAAGGTGTAAAATGTCCCCTGTAAGATATAATTCCTACCCGTGGTATGTATTATGAATGTAACTATATCCATAAAAGAACAAATGAAAAAGTAAGCTACAACTCAAGAGTTACACCAACATTTTTTGCAAAGTTTTGTACACATCAATTATATTGAAAGCACTTTCTTTTTAGAGATTTTTTTTTTTGGTACATCATACCTGAAAGCAGATACACAGAGCTGAAATTCTTCTCCAGTTTGCCCAGAAGCACAGTAAGAAAGCAGTCAGGTGAGAGAGAGGTCACATCTTTAGAGCTTTGGTCATACACCACCACTTCCTGCTTGCAATCAATTTCAATCTGAAATACAAGTCATTGAAAATAAGGTAGGAAGGAGGAGGATGATTAGAAGCACATTATCAGCTGCATGAAGTCAGGCCAAGGGCTCCTACCTGTTTCTATATCATATTCTAGAAATCTGTATTTCTTACCTAGCTATATGCAAAACAGCTTTTATTTTATACTTAATACTCTCAAATAATTTTAATTCCTTTGAGAGTTTAAAACTTGTTATCTGATCCAAGTTGAAGTGTACTCTGTACATTTCAGTCATTGGGTAACATCACTTTTAAAAGTCACTACTTTGGGCTAGTTCCCCTGCCCTAACCTAAACTGTTAAAAGAAAGTCCACTTTCAGTTTCTGCTTCTAAGCTTTTTGTTTAAAGAGAACCTTAAACTACCTAGAACCATATGTACTTAGCCATCTGTAAAAGTATGTATAATGTATGTTCAGATAATAATCAAATGGCTGTATTTTTAACCTCTGAATGCAGAGGTACCATGTGCAGATTACTTTTGTCATCTAAAGACATTAAAAACCAACTATTAATTGACTAAAATAGTCACAGATAAGTTTAAAGAATTTGGTTATTTTCTTTTCACTAGCAACACTTACAAAACAAGAAAACAACCACCCCCACCAAAGCTATTCACATGAGAAGCATTTTAAACAGTAAAGAGCAGCCAGAACTGATAGAGCTACCAGTTTCTTTCCAAACTGTATGACCACTTACAGAATGATCCCTGCTACTGCAGACCCCTAAAACTCCTTCAAAGTTTAGAAGGTGAACGTTGAGTGCATTAATTCCATACATATAAGGGACTGTGCTTTACAAGGCTTGCAAACAAAGATCTGCCCGGGTAATTTCAAAGTCCCAACACCTTACTCTGTAGCTGCTCTCTCTTATTTGACAAAGAATGCTAAAGATAAACCTTCTAGTAACTGACAGCCTCTTACATCAGGTAAAAAAATCCGGCAATTTTCTCTCTTAAAACAAATTACCTAAGGGAAATCATTACAAATTGCTCTCCAGACACTCTTTAAAACAAATGCATGAAATAACAGGAAAATGACTCCTACCTTGTGTTTCGCTGAATGCTGAATGAGCTCTGTAATCAAAACTTTGTCCTGCTGCAGCCTCCGCTTCATCAGCTTGGAGCAGTTGATGTTGATGGCATCCAAGATGTGGGACGTATTGTATTCCACAAAGGGGCGGCTATCGATGAGGAGAAATTTTTCTGTACCGCTCTCCAGCAAAGCCACCAACTTCTCAGCAACAATGAGCTGCGTCCTGATCATCTCATCGGCCATGACAACAATGAGGCTTCTTTTGCCCCCTCCCTCTCTAATTTGCTGCGATGATGTAATGGCTGTGTACTCAAAGGCTTAGCCACACCATTGTACGAGAAGTGTATGAGGTCATGCTGGTAGTGACTGGCAAAAGAAAAGTTAAGCCCATTTTCAGAAAGAGCTCTTCAGTTGAATGTCTCCTCCTGCTTCCAGTCCATGTGCCGTTACAAAGGGTTTGCTCCACAAAGCAGCGCCTCACATCTGATTCATCAGGAGATGACTATGGAGTGGCCATTTCACAATTCAAACAAAAGATGCTTTCTGGCTGCCACTGCATTACATCATTCTTTACCTTTGCTCCCACCCATCAGCTTTGCACCGGACTAAGAGTCTGGAAGAAGGAAAAGACAAAAACATGAACCAGATGAGGCTGTCAAAGTTTGCAGCACAAAATATGCAACTTTGTGACTACGCACGCAGTGCTCCGTACCATAAAATAAATATATCCCTGACAAGTTTCCCACCTTTGATGGGTATTCTGAAAGACTAAGAGATAATTTTTGCAACTACAATCTCTGAATCTATTCCAACAGTCCTGCCTGTACAATTATCTTGGATTTCAGGCAACATACCCTGTCTTAATTGCAGACTTTTGTTGCTACTAACTCTGCCTCTTCACAAGACTTTGTTAGAACATAATTAAGAGATACTGCCCTAAATCATGGCATTCTTCTCAATAGCAAAACTAATTGGATGTGTTTCTGCACTCTGCCAGCATTAGTAAAAAGTTATAAAATTTGTTAGGATACTTTTTTAAAAATTTAATGACTTGAAAAGTATTTCATAAAGCAGCACTGCATGTCTGGGAACTGACACTGCACAAAAGCAAAAGACAAATCTTATATCCACCTCCCTCTTTTGGGAGCACAATCGAAGAAAACCAGAAGAACAAGATGCTACATCAGAGCAAAAACATTTCATTTGGATTAATCACCAGATATGAAACCAGGGCCTCGTACACACTACAAAATGCATAGCCTGGCCCACCCAGGACAGTTATATGAGGGGCATTACACTTTTCATGCTAAATAATACCAGAAGCAAACTATCCTTCAGTCAAATTAGAGAGTGACAGCATGGAAGACATCTCTAGAGGAACACTCCTGAGAAAGGAACCACCATAGGGCTCCATCCCCAGGAAGTCTAGCTGCAATTTAGTACATTTACTGCTTCAGCTATAGATCCAACAGGAATCACGAGTCAAAGATGCTTTGCTCCCACTGCTCAAAACTTGTTCTCTTGGCTCAGTCATGCATACTTGCAGCAGTCCCCATAAGGCTGCAGAGAACAACTCGGCAACAAGTACGGGCTCCACATTCAACTGCCCTGGTGATGGGCTCCAGCAAAAGAGCCTTCTGAGCACTGTTACTCAACCAAGGCAGAATTCGAGTTAGTGTCTGCGTGCCGAAGGAGAAAGCTTAATGAGGCCCTCTCCTGCTTAACGTGGCATGCTGCTTATAGACAAGCGGTCAGGGCTCAGAGCAGCACTCGATGAAGCTGCCTCAGCAAGGAGCCACATTCTCAAGCTCACGTTTCACAGTGGCCCCTTTTCCTGCTTGGAAAGTGATTTCAGGTGAGCAAAACTATGAAGCACACCTCTTGCATGAAGCCAAATATACACTCAAGCAATGCCTTGGTCAGTTCTGGCCTGTGCCATCTAAACCTATAACCCAAGCAGTCTTCTTGCCTCCACTTTTTATTGCATGGTACAAAGCAATAGCTCAACTGTCAGACCACTGAAGCAGGCTGGTATGGAAAGGAGTGACAAAAAGAAGTCCAGTTGATTGACACTCTTCAAGGTAGTTAAAACATGAGCAAAACAGAGCAAGCCTCCTGAACACTTAACAGCCATTCAAGTACAAAGATGAAGCTCTTTTAAGTTATATACTTAAAAGCTGTTGGGGAGGAAAAAAAAAAAAAAAACCAACAACAACAACAAAAAACACATATAACCCTTAACTATTCAGTAAAAGGGTTCATCTGAAAAAACATATATTTTACTTGCAATGCTGAGTAGTTGGTTCAGTTACAAATGTGAGAAGAATTGAAGCATTTCTCTACTCTGCTCAGCAATAGTGCATGCATCCTGACCCTCTAGGTACTAGAAAAACTCTTCCAGCTAATCTATAAATCACTTACTAAAAGTCCTATTGCAGCAACAAGTCACTTGTGTTTAGCAATTGGAAATCCCAGGTCAGCAGGTGTTCTATTCATTAGATGAATTATACAAACTTACATATACAAAGCCATAAATTAAATTCATTTTAAAAAGTATATGCCTCACTTTAACAGAAACAATTAGTCTTAAAAAAATTCAGAAAACAAAACAAACTTGTTCCATGTTCTGAAGAAAACAGAGTTTCAGTAATAACACAAAACGAATGCCAGGTTTCATACAAATAGCCATTGGGTTGATAGAATGGGTTAATAAAATCTGGTTGTCTGAACTGTGGTGTACAGCTAGCAGCCACCATGTTTTTTAGCCTGTCCAAACGGAAACACATAGTACTGAAGTACATATTGCTTTAAATTAGAAACAACAACATATCAGTCTTTAACCAAATCTATTAAGAATATGCCCTCTACACCTAGATATGTAGCCTAACAGGCGGCTAAGTTTCCCCTCAAATGGCAGTGATTGTACCCAATCCTCAGGCTCTCTGCAGACAGGCTAGGAGGTATCAAAAGATTTTATCATTACATAATGGAAAAAAAGTCAAAACTTTATAGTTCGTGTTGAATATCTTTCAGTGAGAGAAAGGAAAAATGCATTGTTTATTTCTCTTAACATGGTCCACCATGAATTTTGACTCCTCTTTTTGCAAAGGCTGCCACATACCAAGCCAACTGAAATCAATGAAAACTTTTCCAGTGGCTAGAGTGGGAATTGGCTTCGGCTCTTCTATGAGCTAGACAGTGTGTTCATGAACTGACAGTCTGTTTTGATGGGTAAATTGCTGACTTAAAGTCCAAGTAACAACAGTAAAAGAAATCAGCTGAGAAGCAAGAAAATACAGAATTTTAAAATAAGAGGCAGCTAAATAATAGTAACATTTAATTTGCAACTTTAACTTTGGGACATTTCACAGCTTCCAAACTCCTCTGTTTGCTGCCTGGACCTTTGTTCTCTTATGAAAAAAGTTTCTTCTAGGAGATCATCAAAAGAACTCAAACCAGTCATACATTGTGGTTGAGAAAGAACAAGTTTCTTAATGACATACAACTGGGCTACCAGTGAGAACCCTTTCAAATATTACCATTACTTTAATATTTAACTATGTACTAACACAACACTAAGTTTATGAAAGCATTCTGCACATGACAGGAAAGTAAATTTCACAGTAATATAATCTCCAGTTATTGTGAATGATAAACATTTTGTTCCTCCCCTCCTCACGTGGATCATTTCTGTAAAAAAAAAAAAAAAAGGCATTCCACAAAGTTTTTGTTTTGTTTTCTCCTGCTGCTTTCAGACTCTTCCTTGGAGCCCACCTACCCAAGAGAAATTAGCAGCCCGCTGCTTTAGGTGGAAACTAGAGATGAAGGAATTGAGAAATTCACTGATTTTAACTCAAGCATCTTTCCTTTCTTGGCAACTACTATGAGGTGTTGAAATGTGTGTTCCATTTCTAATCCAAGTTTGTAAGCAGGCAAAACTGAAGTTTTTCAATTGCTTTTTTTTCTGTGCTACTTGACAATTAGCTTTCAAAGTGATGCAATATAACCCTTTGCCCAAGAGGCCATTATGTTGCTGATCTTCAAGCTAGGAAACCAGCTTAGCCACAGGATGTTCTACACCGAAATCAGCATTAGGGAAAAGTAAAACGTAACACAGCTACGAGAGCACTGCATGAAGTCACCCACATGCAGTTTCGCATGGCTTCTTCCTCACTGTGCATGATTGAAACCTGTGGCCCTGCTTGCTACTACTTTTCTTCATATATTTTTGTGTGTGCGTGCATGTGTGTGTACATAAACTTTTAATTTACTGTAAAACTAAATCTGCCCATTATCTTTAGAGTTTCTCCATGTTCTTTAAAGTACCAAGACAACCAAAATTCTATCTATATGTTTGCATGCCATCTTCCAGGCAAACAAAACTGGGTTCTTTAATATTTATGATATCACAGAACTACAGGTTCTTTCTTCCCCTCAAGGATCCTTACCCCATTCCACAAATGACTTGGATGTAAAAGAAAAGACAATCACATAATGGAGAATCTGGTACCTAAGTACCAGATCATACCTGTGTTTGATTCCTCAGTCAAAATAATTCACATTTTGTATATAACCTTAATTTCTACTTCTACCAATTTGAGTCCATGCTATTCCCTTATATCATAGGAGGATCTTGATTTTAGGCATCTCAGGCTCTGGCTCAGATTATAGAAATTACTTCTGAAGAAGTATATCTCACAAGAATCCACGTTAAAAACCCTCAGAATTACGCTTCAGTTCTTCCAGTTTACGGAACTAGCAAAGAGCTTCTAGAAAGTTTGCTACAATCTCTGAAAGATCTCTAGCTTACGTAAGAAAATAACCTTGAAGTTGAACTTTGGTGTAATAAACACAAAGCAATTTTGCTTACATCACTAACAGCTGCTTTGTCAGGTTCCTTAAAGCAAGGCTCCCACATCCATCCCTGCTATGTGGCAAAACACCAGAAATATTTCACAGCATCTGAACATTAGAAGGTCTGAAGGGAGCCTTTTGGATACCCATCCTGAGACACTTGAAAAACAGATTATTCTAAAAATCATGCATTCTTCCACTTGCTAAACAGGCAAACATATGCACATACAAGAAGTCAAAAAAAAAATACAGACAAGCAGTATCCTCTGCACAATCCAGTTCACTTTGATGCCTCCCAGAGTGGACAACAGTGAAAGAATAAAAAAAATAAGAACAGCCCCAAGGGCTGAATTAAAATACAGATTGTAGCTCCTAAACAGCAGTGACAGCATGTAACTTGGCACATCACCTCCTTCAAAGAAGTATTTGGCTTTAGTATAACAGAGCTGGGAACTGCCAGTGGTTCAGCACAGCACTAGCCCCACCACCATAGCTGCATGTGGTCCTCACCTCTCCTGCAGCAGAGGAGATCTCGTAACTTGAAGATCACAGAAGAAAATCTGATTCCTGTAAGACACTCCACACTACCCACCTTACTCCACTCAACACCTACCTAAAACATTCCCTCACCAGCCTCAGAAAGATCTGAAATAATAGCCATCCAAAGTTACTGGGAGACTGGCTGACAATCAAGAAGAGAGAATGCTAATCCCTGCCTTAGGTTGCTACTCATCATCAGTAGTTATAGCATAGTGCTTACGGAGCGTACGCAAAATACGATTTGTAGTAAGTAAGAAATGGCAAAATTTTCCCCGAATTCAGCAAGAAAACAAATAAATTCCAGAGGTCAACAACCGTAAAGTGTAAAATCTGCGAAAAGAAAATTGACCAAGTTAGAAGAAGCCTCTATCTTAGTGCTACTATGCAGACCACGGGGTGAAATTACAAATGCCTGTGATTTAGAAGATCACAGAATCACAGAATGGTTAAGGCTGGAAGGGGCCTCTAGAGATCATCTAGTTCAACCCCCCTGCTCCAGCAGGGACACCTAGAGCACGTGGCACAGGGTGGCATCCGGGCAGGTTTGGAAGATCTCCAGAGAAGACAACTCCACAACCTCTCTGGGCAGCTTTTTCCAGAGCTCTGTCACCCTCACAGTAAAGAAGTCCTTCCTCACATGGAGATGGAACTTCCTGTGCTTTAATTATACCCATTACCCCTTGTTCTGTCACCGGCCACCACCAAAAACAGTTTGGCCCCATCCTCTTTACATTATCCCCTCAGGTATTTGTACACAAGATGTACATTTGTACATAAGATGATACAAGAATCAGGTTCATCCTCCTCAGACTAGGGAAAGGAGGGCGTTTCCTGGCTTTCCTGATGACTCGTGTCGTATCGTCATTCTCACAAGCACATCATTTCCTCAAGTCGGATAGGGGATGGCAGAACAGACTTTCCTCGTCCCTCCCTCATATGCTCCACACTGATGCAAAGATGGAAATCAGTGAGGAACTCATGCAAAGCAAAAGCTTCTGATGTTATTTGAAAGCACCACTTTCATGAACATGGTATTTAAGATAAACAGTTTTGAGATTTTTACCCTGCTCTCCCATGCTTTTCTGTATGATCAAACTGCTTGCTCCTTCTTCCCCTATTTTCAGTGTATTTGCATTCTAGACCTACATATGCATCCGGAACAGAATACTGTTATTTTCTCTGCTTTGCAAAACTAGGTTACATATATTTTAGATTATAAAACTGGACTGGAGCGCTGCCATGGAAGGCTATTATAATCCATTGTGGGAGGAGGGGGGAAATGAGGGAGAGTCTCCTGTTCATGATCTGCTGTACTTTATTCTACTTGACTAATTGCTTCTTAATTCTGGTTACTTCTTCTAAAGAAAAGTCACCCAATTTCACTCTGCTCACCAATCTGAGAACTAAGACATGCGGAGACAAGGTCAGAAAAAAAAATCTTATCAGTCTTCCACAAACAAACTGCAGAAATACAGCCCTGGTTTAGATTAAGCTCTTTATTTACTTCTACATCTATTTCTCAGTATGCTTTTGATCATCATGCAGTTAGCTGTGCTAGGCAGGAATGGATGGAGTTTCCTTTTAGACAACAGTCTGATACTGTTTACTGTAATAAATAATGATACTAGAAAAAACAGATAGCCTGTTCACATACTAGATAACCTATTCTCCTGCCCAAAAGACCATTGTGTCCTACTCAATATACCCCTCTATGTGCAATGCTCTTGCAAATCTCACTCATGCACCATTACTAACTTGAAGCAATGAGCCAGGTCATCCTTACTTGCAGTTACCAAGAAGCCAACTTATTTGACACTCACTGTGGAATAATAAAGGTTAATTACGTATTATAGCAAACAAACCTGATTGCCACAGTGTGAGGTCATGGGAAGTTTTAGAATAGGCTCTTGATACATTACATCACTCCATACTTAACAGCTCTTTATTCTAGAACTCCCTTCTCCACCCATACAAGATTTTACATTTGAAAGTATTTACTTTTATATAGATTCCCAGCATATCACTCTGTGTGACATGTAGAATGAATTCTTACCTAATCCACTTGAAAAAAAAAATCTGTAACAAAAACATTTGCAGTTTCCTAATGCTGGCAACACTAGAAAACCATGAAGAGTTGTAATGGTTTTTTAAAGATCATTCTCTCCATATGATCTTTAAATCAAAGCAATGGAAAATCTGGATTACTTTTATGTTAACTCATTATTGTTTCATATCAAAAATAATTACTCACCTGCATTTAAGTCAACTTCTAAATAGGCTGAACAGAACAAAGTGTCATCCACATATGGAGGCCAGGAGAAGGAAATACCTAAATACAGGGGGGAAAAAAGAGAAAAAAGAATAAAAAATATTTCACGTCAAAAAACAGAAGATGGATTTCATACTTTCAGTGTAGTCATTTAGTGTAAAACTTCCTCAAACATATGAAAATCTAGATGAGAAGAGATTTGTAAATCCTAGCATTCAATCAAGTGGAAGGAGTCAGAAAATAATTATGCCCATTTGCTAAAAGACAAGAAAAAAAATACAGCAAGTATTTTCCCACTCAAGTTTAGATATATATAAAACAAAAAGAAAAAAAAAGAAAAAAAACTGAAGAAGCTGAAGAGTCAAGACAGAAAAAAAAAACACAAAAAACATGCACATGCACAGTAGCCTTGAAAACAATTTGACCCATCTCCCTCCTGATGGAAAGCTAATCTTTAACTAACATTTACAGATGATATATGTGCACGAATTCAAGCAAACCTGACCTCACACGTTGTTTTCAGTATCTATTGATAGAGGAGTCGGCCAAAAGTTAGTCCGCTTATGGCTGCATTTGAAGTGAGCAAAGGCTGATGAAACAGAACATTTTGGGTTACGGATCCCACCTTTACCCAGACTGAAAATAGGCCTCAGACAACACTGGAAACTGCACGTTACCGATGACTGCATGTAGTCATACCTGTACAGCCCCTATGCAAAGCACCACATTGCTGCACAGACAGATTAAATTATAACCTTCATACGGGGAAGTAAAAACAAGCACATTAATGTCAATTCCAAACTGTTCCCCAGGCAGTTAAGCAAGATTCAAATCATCACTATCAAGAGATGACAACTCTGCTTAGTCACTGTAACATAAGTCACCATCACCGCCGAGCCGGGCCAGGCCCGCATGACGCAATCCAGGCATGGCCGAGGGTGTCAAAGCGGGAAGAGCCACCCCGAGGAGGGCAGAGCGTAGCATGAAAGTCAGCGAACAGGCTCAAAACTGACGTCATCTCCCAAGAAAAAAAAAAAATACAGGAATTACTTCACTGTCTTTGGGTAACGGCTTTAAAACCCTTGCAACCATAAGCAGCCCAATACTGGACTAGAGAGGTTCAGGTAGATAACTGAAGTGTCTTCTACCTGAGTCTGCTCACCGAGGTGGACACACTAAACGAGGCCCAGACCCATTTTGCCCTAGGGGAACTCATTCTGAAGACCAGACAAGATACAAACCACCTATTTCCCTTCAACATATTTTACTGGAAGTGTCATTTTTTTGAGCAAGACCCACTCATGACTGAAGACTGAGCCGCTACAAGTTCAGCCATAAGCATTAAGCACATTTGGAAATTCCCTGGCAACGTTGCTAAAGGAACAGACATTTCCTGTAATTTTCGGAAACATTTTATATCTCTCCTCCTCCTTTTTAGACTTGGTGCTAAAATGGCTAAAGGGAGAGGGAAACAGAGGATACCACATTACAATTAAGTGAAATATGAATGAGCCACCCAAGTTTAAAGTGGAAACTTGAGCAATTCATGCTTGGGAGAAGGAAGAACAGGGGTGGGGTGGGCAGCAGTCTTTCATCATTAAGAGCCTGGGATTTTTTTTGCTGACTTCAAGAAAATAAATATACATCCTTTCAATTAAGTCAAATTACAAAAGGATATAAACTTTTCCCCTGACTTCTGGCAAATAAGCACTCCTCCGGGCCTTATTTAAATACCTTTTGATTTTCTTGTTCTCCAGAATTAGAAATGGAAGCCTCATTCTTTTTGTTCTTGCGTAAAGGCCTTCCCTAAACTGCAGCTAAAGAAACCAACCAGTCTGGTCACAGGGAGCACCCCTTCCTCCCTTCCTCAGCTGTATATAGCAGTGCCACAACAAAAAGCAAGAAGCTAAGAGGAGACTGAACTTTCAAGCACAACAGCACCTTTCCTCTACCTAAAGTTTCATGCTCTATGAGGTACCTGGCACAAAGCCTCTTTGTTTGGCCAGAGTGAGCAAGCCTAACAAACACTCTGCATTGAGAGTGCCTGAAGAGCTACCACACAGAAGTCCAAGTATGTCCTTATGCCCCTAGCACAGGACATAGTAATTCACAAACTTTCTTCAACCTGGGAGATGGCCCCTATCTTGCAAACACACAGCACAATCATCATCTTGTCCCTGTGCATGCGATGCTGGAGATCCAACATTTAGTTGTGACAGTGGGCAAATCCCAAACCTGCAATTCCTTATTGGCACGTACATTTTAGCACTTGACCAAAAGCCACAAAACATAAAACCTCAGAAGGGTTGAACTTTATAAATCTCCAAGCTCTCAAAATTCCTTACTCTTCATAAAAGGGAACCTTTTGCAGCAGCCTCATTCATGGCATCCAGGTTTCCATCTACTATACAGCCTGAGCCTACTGAATCAGCTAACAGTGCTCTGCAGCTACACAGAGCAAAATAAAGCGACTTGTGCATTTTATATAGACATCATTTTGCTACAAAAGAGTAAAATGAGGAGGAAAACTCTAAAGAGAAATGCTAAGTAAGCAGAGTAATTCTAACAGTCCATGTCACTTTTCTTTGCGTGAGAGGAGGAGGAAGGAAAAAAAAAAAAAAAAAGATAAGTTGACCTCAGAGTCTAAGTAGTGGCTAACCTTTAGAGCTAAAGTCTCCAGTGACAGGCTTTAAATTAGAGACGGTCTGAGAGATGTGATAAAATAATATGGGTCTGTAAATAAAGGAGACAAAAATACCCCCATCAACAAAAGCAGCCTTGATCTGTTTTGTAATCACTGTACAGTGAAAACAGGAGGAATCTGAAGTCTTCATACAACAGGGATGCATTAAAGGCAGGGGATCCTAATGATATTTTAGTATGGGAACAAATCAGAATAGCTGTTGGGCAAGGCAAGGGTGTCTTTCTTGCATCAGACTTTTTAAATGATTCTTGTCTAAAGTTAAATCAGATGACTAAAGATCACAGAGAGATGATCTCCCTTAGGGATAGAGATAGGCAAACTGCTTCCATGGTCAGTGGCGGGTTAAAATGCAATGGTTTTTCACCCATTTGAGGAAATGACACGAGTTCTCCCGGAAGGCAACAAGTACATTCAACCCGTTCTCATCAGGGCATGAGAAAGTTTGGAAGGAATTTTTTTTTTTAAACTGTCAACATTAATACTTTGTTTCTTCCTGCTTGTGTCTGAAAATACAGTGCTGAACTACACTGCATACGCATCCTGTCAGCTGTATAGAGAAAAATCTAGATTTTTTTTTTAAACTTGCTCAAGAAGCATTAATTATACATACTGCCAAACTCATTCAAAAAAACCCTCTGCAAGTTCAAAGGCAAGTTAATATTTTAGGTATTGCATACTGCATAGTGATAAAAGCACATAGGAGATCCTTAAGAGACCTGCCATAGCAGTTACCCTCTCAGGCTTCCAGAAGGATCAGAAAGGATGCTGGGCCCTGTAAGACACCTAATACAAATGTAGGGTAGGTTCCTCTACCTCCCTGTGCAAAGGAAGATTGGGTCAGAGAGCTCTTAGGGAAACTTGACAGCCATAAATCCATGGGCCCTGATGGGATTCACCTGAGAGTGCTGTGGGAGCTGGCAAATGTTATTGCTAAGCCACTCCCAATCATCTTTGAAAGGTCCTGGAGAACGGGGGAGGTGTCAGAAGACTGGAGGAAAGCCAATGTCATGCCAGTCTTCAAAAACGGTGAGAAGAAGGACCCAGGCAACTGCTGGCCAGTCATCCTCACCTCCATCCCTGGAAAAGTCATGGAGCAGCTCATCCAGGCTGTTGTCTCCAAACGTGGAGGATAAGAAGGTGTTCAGGAGTAAAGAGCATGGATTCACCAAGGGGAAATCATGCTTGACTAACCTGAGAGCCTTCTATGATGGAATCCATCTATGATGGATCTGGATGGCTGGGTAGATGAGGGGAGAGTGGTGGATATTACACATATCTGGACTTCAGCAAGACTTTTGACACTGTCCCTCACAGCATCCTCCTGGGCAAGCTCCGGCAGTGTGGGTTAGATGAGCAGATGCTGAGGTGGATTAACAACTGGCTGGATGGCAGAGCTCAGAGGGTGATGATAAATGGGGCTGAGTCTAGTTGGAGGCCTGTAGCTAGCAGTGTCCCCCAGGGACAGTCCTGTTCAATTTATTCATCAATGACCTGGATGAAGGCACAGAGTGCTCCCTCAGCAGGTTTGCTGATGATATGAAACTGGGAGGAGTAGCTGATACCCCAGAGGGCTGCGCTGCCATCCAGAGGGACCTGGACAGGCTGGACAACTGG